AAAAACTTTGCATCCCTTTTTACGTAAATTGCGAGGACGGAGGAGTATGAAATTTTCCACACTTACATAGAATATAGAGAAGAAGTGCATAATGCTAATATTTTTTTAAATAATGCATAAAAGGCACATTAAATCAATAAAGAAAACATTACACACACTACATACCATGTATTTGACGCACACACGCATGCATACTATTTATTGTCAAACTTTTGTTCTTGACGTCTATGGTCAAATTGAGAATAGATGAAATATTGTCTTTATTAAAAAAATTTTATAGTGTAGCCTTGGCGAAATTTGTGATTATAGAAGTATAAAATACAATCATAGTAATAGTGTACAAACTTACAATTCCAATTAATTATAGTCGAATTTCGACTACTGCGGGACCTCTAGTATAGATCATATTGCTTCAGATGTTTTGGGTAATGCAGTTTTCGTGATCACACTCGATAGTTGTCTCCCAGGCGCGAATTAAAATTAATTTTAATTGCTTAAGGATTCTATCTAGTTGTTCTTATTCTAATGATATTCACATTATTGTATGTTTACTTTATAAATCCATCACAATACTCCTGAAAGCGCGTTTCCTTGGACAACCCTTGTCCGATATCGGAGGTTTGTTTTATTCAACAAAGAAATTGATACTCACACGTCATCAGTATCTTGAACCAAGGAATGTTTTATAAACTGACGTTGTTTGAGAAACATTCAAAGAATAGTCTAGAGAATCGTTGCGATTTTTTTATACTCGTCGATGACATTAGCGGCCGTCTGGTGTAGTGGTAAGTGACATGGTCACTACACAACGGGGTCGCGGGTTCGAATCCCGCCAAGGGAAGATATTTGTATGATAAATATAAATGTTTTTTCCAGGGTTATGGATGGGTATTCCAGGATAATATTAAAATATAAGTATGTGCATAATAAAAATCTTACATTTATATCCGTTATCTGGTACCTGTAACACAAGTTCTTTACGAACTTACCACGGGACCAGTTAACGTAGCGTGATTGTTAGTAAATATTTATTTATTTATTATTAGCAAACGGTTCTCATGAGGGCTGATAATGCTTTGGGGCTCAACCCGGCCATTGACTACTGGAGTATATTGGGTCTGAACTCTATTTTCAAACATAATTAGTAGTGTTTCATGAGTCAAAGATTACTAACCTAACCTAAGATCTATTGAAATGTAAGTATGCTGTTGAAAGGTGATATTTAAAAACTGGATTGAGACTGCGGCGATCTTTAATGGAGATGTTTGGCGCTTAATTGCCGTGATAATGCGACAAGTCAATTAAGCTATCAGACCTCAAAGTACTGTTAATTCGATCTATTAAGATTCGATTTTTTTATTTAAAGTAAATATTAAATAATTTATTAGGGTAACTTATTTCCTGAAGTGATTTTTATCCACCCGATGGTTGTCTGGAAAAGTTTGTTATTGACGATAAGACCGCCCTTTGTACTTTTTAGAATTTAGTGATTTAAATTTTTATTTATTTTGGTCTCTCTCTCTCTCTCTCTCTCTCTCTCTCTATTCATATAACAACTTAGTCGTCCGTGACCACGAAAACTATAAAATACACGATGCTTACGTCGTAAATCGTAAATTAAAATAACAAACCAAAGTTTAAGCCGTAAAATTAGTTTTGAGTTTTATACCGAAGCCTCGGAAAAAACTTAAGAAGTCGCTATGGTTAAATTTAATGACAATAAAGTAAAAAATCATGTTGTGTGACGTTACTGAAAAATTCACAAATCTAGGCTTTTTAGTGCGTAGATATAAGGTGCTTTTCATTTCGTTTTGCATGGAGATTTATTACATTCTGGTACTGAACATATGACAGCCACATAATTTATTGGATAGTCGTCTAAACAATTATTTTTGATTGTCCAATGGATGTTCATCTCAATACGTCAAACAACCTTAATTTGTTCAGTTTAACTTAGGTTGGACAACGCACAAAACCTCTCCTTGCCTCTGCCCCTGGCATTGCTGATGTCCATGAACGACGCTAACCACTCATCATCAGATGGAAGGTAAGCTCTTCTGCCTACAAGGGCAATAAAAATACCGATCAAATCCTTATGAAGGCACATTGCCAAATAGATAGGTCAATCGAACAAGTTTTGTGACCTGAAAATATCTAAAACATCACAGTAAGTTATTGCTTTGATTATAAAGCTTTAGGGCGATGTTTTTGAATAGATTTAAGATCAGTATGTAATCTCCCTTATTGATGTTTAAACATTTTTCATAAGAACCTTGGACCTCTTGAGAGTCCGCGCGGGTAGATACCACCACCCTGCCTATTTCTGCCGTGAAGCAGTAATGCGTTTCGGTTTGAAGGATGGGGCAGTCGTTGTAACTATACCTGAGACCTTGGAACTTATATCTCAAGGTAGGTGGCGTATTTATGTAGGAGATGTCTATAGGCTCCAGTAACCACTTAACACCAGGTGGGCTGTGAGCTCGTCCACCCATCTAAGCAATAAAAAAAAGAACAATTTATATTGCTATGGGCAAAAAGTTGAGAAAATATTTTTCAATTATCTTACCAAAATAAAATTCTTAGACGGGCAATCGGGCTTCCAATCCATCTGACGTTTGGTCGATATTGGAACCCATAGACCTAAGTAACGTAAATGCCTCGTTGAAGCATAAGTTCTAAGTCCCAGTTCTATAGTACCTACAAATATTTCCTGGTTTTCAAACTGGAATTTTTGGAATTTCAATTATTTCTTCGCGGCAGAAGTAGGCGGGGTGATAGAGCCTGTACGTGGATCAACTTAATAAAAGGGACTAAGGTTCAAAATCAATGCACATTTACAGAAATATAAATCAAGATTGTTTGTGACAGAAAGTGGATTCGTGACGGTTCGATTCGGTAACGCTTGCGATTTCCGAGAAATCGTGAATAGATGTGCACCACTATTGTTCAAAATTTTCAGAAAATCACGCTATCGCATACGATGAATATTGGATTTACACTGTTAGCTACGATTGGGTGTAGAAGACATTCTTTATACTGATGACTAGCTGACCCGGCAGACTTCGTAGTGCCTCAATCGATAAATAAAAGATCTAAACTTTTGTATAAAATTAACTTAAAACAAACAAAAGGAATCGGTCCGACGGGGGACACATCAAAGGGAAAACAAAATTGTTATTTTTATTTAATTCCGAGCATTTTTATATTTATGTACCTTTTAAACCTTCTCTGGACTTTCACAAATAATTCAAAGCCTAAATTAGCCAAATCGGTCCAGCCGTTCTCGAGTTTTAGCGAGACTAACGAACAACAATTAATTTTTATATAGTATGTTATTTTTAGTTTGTATATAGATTGACAAAAATCATACTAGTGCAAGGAAATTGTTACGACAATTATTTTAAAACAGAAAGCAATAGAATAGGTAAGAGATTATAAAAACTTAAAATAAGAGATATATTGTGGGACTATGTCTTGTTTATTTTGGTAATTAAATAGTATTCGCTTCGTCCTTAGCGATATTAAAACGCAAAAGTAGCTTTAATTATAATTATATAGTTTTTGAAGTGAAACTTCCTTATCGGCGTTGGAAAAAAATTTACCGTCACATTTTTCGGTTACGCGTCACTTTTTTCCGTTACGCGCCATCTGTTTTGTATTCATGTCTATGATAATAAAATCCTTTTGTTTAAACTTTATCTAATTTAACTTTTTTGTATTCATGTCTATGATAATAAAATCCTTTTGTTTAAACTTTATCTAATTTAACTTTATTTAACCAATTTCTAGAAAGTTGCATGTAGATCATTTTTCGAAAAATAAGGCCATAAACAAGTTTCACTTCTTACGTGTGTACACTAGTACACGCACACATTTTTTTTTAAAGGACGTATTCATAATATTTTGACTTTCGTTAAATTAGTTAAATGACGGACGATTTGAATTACAATTATTTCGTAATTGAATAGTTGATGTAGATAATCTTAATTCGAGTTCCTAATCTGCATTCAATGGAGGCTAAAATAACTAAAAATAACTTAAAACTAGAATTTATTATTGATAAATACTGAACGAATGTCCTGTTTGTGGATTAAACTCTATAAAACTAAATTATCTAACCGCTACTACGTAAGCTAATTTACACGGGTAAGCATTTAGGGTTTTCCGAACTACTTCCAAAGGTTTTTTTTTTTGTGACGGACGTGTATTGGTGGACGAGCTCACAGCCCATCTGGTGTTAAGTGGTTACTAGAGCCCATAGACATCTACAGCGTAAATGCCGCCACCCATCTTGAGATATAGTTCTAAGGTCTCAGTATAGCTACAACGCTGTCCCACCCTTCAAACCGAAACGCATTACTGCTTCACGACAGAAATTAGCGGGATGGTGACACCTACTCGTGCGGACTCACAAGAGCTCCTACCACCAGCAATAATTTTATTAATTATGTAAAAAAAGCTACGCGTTTGTAGTTAGTTGATTATAAGTTTAGGATGGTTTTATTAGCTTAATTCGTATTGCAATGCATTCGATTATTTCAAGTTAATTTTCACCAAGTTCAAGATAATTATTACCTTGAAAATTTGTATTTACGTGTGGTTGAACCGAGGACAATATGTTAATTTTATTGATTGTATTACAGGATAAAATGATGATTTTATTTTATTTAAGACCCGGTTTTCTGAAAAGAAGTGTTTTCGAACTATATAGGTATATTTATTATTAATAGCGTTAATGTTATTCTTCGTGAAAAGTGTGAGAATGTTAAAAGCTCTTAGTGCTTGAAGAATTCATTTTTAAAAGTTTGCTTCATGAATACGTTCTTCCGTGTTAAAAATTAAAAATTGTTTTCTTGCACTTTTTATTTTTTTTAAAAATGTATCATTTTTGTTTAATTTGTATTTTATTTCAATTGCTCAAAAGTGCCGGTACCAATGTTTATTTGTTTAGTTCAAAAAAAAACAATACAATAAACAATTATATCGTACTATGTACTCACTTAAATTTGATTTCTTAGATCCGAAAATAGTAAAACGTATTGGCATCGATCCACGTTCGACTAAAAGCGATTCAGAAACACGTCCGAACACGACGCCGACCGGTTAATGACTGATCTTGTTCGGTTGTGGACTGCACAGTCTGCAACGCGGCGTGTTTAATGACCGACACCACTGCGAACCCGACTGTCTTATAACTATTTTTGTGTTTACGCAAATTTACGTAGGGTGCGCACACTAAAGCTCGAACCGAGAATTTCCTGTCTTTTTTTTTTGTTTTTGGAAATATTATTAATAGTAAATCGATATATTTCTATGTACATTAACCATAATTCACTTCGATTTTTGCAAATGAATCAGACAAATGAGGCAGTCAAAGCTGGGTTTTTTTATCAATTTATCTATTGTATAGATTTTTTCCAACTTATTTACTAGTAGCTTATTATTCGGTAGGTGAGCTCACGGATTGAACCTGAGAGATTTTGCTAACACTAGCTCTAGCATAAGCAGTGCTCCGCTGAATCTACTACCGGATCGGAATCGTGACCCACTGGGACGATCCGGCGAGAAACTCAGTGGGCTGTATATGTATATAGGTATAGTTTAATGCACGACCGCGTTCGTCTGATGTAAAGAGGGTGTCGAAGCTCATTGACATTGCATTGTGAATGTCGCCAACCTCCTCGAGTAATACCGAAGTCATAATTGTATTGTTTAATGGCTGTCCCACTCTTGCAATCAGAACGCAATTAGTTCGAGACAGAAATAAGGAGAATGATAGTGTTTATACATTTAGGCTTACTCTACTACACGTGGGCCATGTATACGGGTCATATACCTAAGCTATACTATTTTGTTATTTCGCGCTGTCTCCGCATTTAAGTAGTCCCGAGCTAATCATTTCTATTGCGAAGAGAACAGATACTCAACACATCAATGCAGAATCTTTCACATTACCTTTGAGGATCCTTAAGGCTAAAAATTAGTAAATATTTTCATTTGAAATAATCATCTGTTGTTCTGATAGAAGAAGAATATACTGCAGAGAATATACTGAAAGATGAGCTTAGTGAGAAAGCACATTGTAATGAGATTGTACTTTGATGGCTGAAAATGGAGCTAATGCTAATTGATTATCTTTCCGACGTCCTACCACCAGTAATTACGCAAATAAAAATTTTGCGGACTTGACTTTTAATTACACAATGTTTTTCATTCACCGTGGAAGTCAATCGTGAACATTTGTTAGGCACGTATTTCATTAGAAAAATTGGTACGCACCTGCGGGATTCAAACACCGGTACCTTGGCATCGTTTGATACGAATGCACCGAGCGTCTTATCCTTTGGGCTACGACGACTTCTTATAGGTGTCAGCAGTGCCAGGTATCAATCAAAACGCTGCCTATCCTTAAAAACTTTTCGCAAGCTGCGTTTGAAATTTTTTTCAATAGGACATAAATACTATAGTACTCAGTGAATATTTACCGGAAGAGGGGAGCTCATGCCAGAGTGGGTAGATGACAAACAAGCACCCTTCAAATGCAGTTAAAAATTTTCGTACATTATTTAGGTTTTGGAAAGAAATAAATAAATAATAGTTTCCGGAAAGTGTGGTCACAATACAAAATTTTCACTTTGTACATCAACGTTGCAGCACAACTCATGTGATTGAAGTTAATCCTCCAGAGTCTTAAGTTTTTTTTTAATTATCTATGCGAGTAGGTTTAGTGTTACATTATACTAAACTTTTTAACCGACTTCAAAAAAGGAGGTTCTCAACTCGACTGTTTTTTTTTGTTTTTTTGTTAACTCACAACTTTTGACTGGGTAAATCGATTTTGATGATTCTTTTTTTATTTAAACTGACGCTTCCCGTGTGCTCCATTTAGTTCCGTTCTGATGATGGTATCCATGAGAAAGCCATATAAGTCTGAAAGTTGTTTTTAGTGTATATTAATTTGTTTTGGAATATCTCTTTTTTTCTATTTGAAGTCGGTTTTTGTTAAAGCATGTCTATTTACAATTATGTTCATTGCATAGAACTACTTATTGCGACTTAAATTTTTGTCTCTGGCTTATATTTTGGCTCTATATGGGCATATGTCCATTTTGCTTGCAGCCCGACTGGTATTAAGTGGCCAAGTTAAGCTTACAGTCATGTTATGTGTTAGCTCACAGTATGTATGAAAGCCGATTTTCAACGTAAGAGAACTTGAAGTCTCATTGTATTGATTAATTAATGGTGGACCCGTCATTTAAGTTGTTGATATCCGATTCTTAGCACATATAACTGAAGCTCTTCTTATTCAGCTATTAGAAAGTTTGAAGTCGTCGTGGCCTAAATGATAAGACGTCCGGTGCATTCGTATGTAGCGATGCACCGGTGTTCGAATCCCGCAGGCGGTTACCAATTTTTCCAATGAAATACTTACTTAACAAATGTCCACGATTGACTTCCACGGTGAAGGAATAACATCGTGCAATAGAAATCAAACCCGCAAAATTATAATTTGCGTAATTACTGGTGGTAGGACCTCTTGTGAATCCACACGGGTAGGTACCACCACCTGCCTATTTCTGCCGTGAAGCACTAATGCGTTTCGGTTTGAAGGGTGGGGCAGCCGTTGTAACTATACTTAGACCTTAGAACTTATATCTCAAGGTAGGTGGCGCATTTATGTTGTAGATATCTATGGGCTCCAGTAACCACTTAACTCCAGATGGGCTGTGATCTCGACCACCCATCTAAGCTACAAAAAAAAGTATAGTAGAAACAAAAATATGCGGAATTCCAAACAGGACTATTAGAAAAATAAAAACTTTCCTTTCTACCACGAAACCATTTCATGTTTAATAAATGACTGACATAATTTGTTTAGAGTTTTCCTTCCGCTAATTGACTTAGGCTAGAGATTTACAATCGTGTAAATATTTATTTATAACGGTAAAGGCAGACTGTTCGCAAATAAGACGGTGACGTCACGTGGCGTGGTGTGACGTTTTCTCACGTATAGCTCATGTGGAATCATGTCTCAATCACGCGTTTTTTGAACACGTCTAATCCTGGGATTAATAAAAATACATCTAGTGTTTTAGATTGCTTAGGTCTGTGTGACAAGCTATGTAAAAAAATGTTTTTTTTTTAATGCTTAGATGTAGCTCAGGTTAACCTAGTGTTAAGTGGTTATCGGAGCCCATAGATCTTCTTCCCTCTCGGCGCCGTGCCGCCGCCGTCGAGCTGGGGGTCGGAGGAGGGCGTTTGTCCAGCTCCGGCCCCTATGAGGAGGCAGTCTCCTCCCGGTGATGGTCACGGGGCGACCTAAGGGGGTTGAGGCTGCGCCGCACGCTACCGTCACTCTAGCGCGCTGGCACCAGGAGGACGGGACAACGCGTCGGTTTTTCGTCGTCGCTGTCGTCGCCGAACATACTGTGGAAGAGCAACCCGGTCGGCGGTGTATCGCGTTCCGACCCGGCAGGCTGGTTCTGGCCCAGCGGGGTATCCCGGAACACCAGCGGCATCGCCCGGGCGGCCTGGCAGGGCCGCCGTACCGCGGAGACCGACGTCGTCGGTCGTCGACTATCGCCTCAACGACCCGTCGGTCGGGCGTCCTCGGGGTGGCGCCGCGTGTCTGGTTGTAGTGTTGACCGCGGGAACCACCCTACTCTGACCTGGTTCTGACCCCGGACGGAGATCGAACGTCGGGTGTAAGAGTGTAGGGGAGTCGTTTAGTGGGTGGGCTCTAAAATCCTTGGGCCCGCGATCTGCTTTCAACACCTGCAGAACGTTGAGTCTCACATACCCCGCGCGCCCCCTAGGCGTGGGGACCTCGTAGGAGGTTCGGCCCCCTGCCCGAAAAAAAAAAGCCCATAGATATTATTTACAACATTTTTTTTATAGCTTAGATGGGTGGACGAGCTCACAGCCTACCTGGTGTTAAGTGATTACTGGAACCCATAGACAAGTACAACGTAAATGCGCCACCTACCTTGAGATATAAGTTCTAAGGTCTAAGTATAGTTACAACGGCTGCCCCACCCTTCAAATCGAAACGCACTACTGCTTCACGGCAGAAATAGGCAGGGTGGTGGTACCTACCCGTGCGGACTCACAAGAGGTCCTACTACTAGTAATTACGCAAATTATAATTTTGCGGGTTTGATTTTTATGACACGATGTGTTATTCCTTCACCGTGGAAGTCAATCGTGAACATTTGCTGAGTACGTATTTCATTAGAAAAATTGGTACCCGCCTGAGATTCGAACACCGTTGCATCGCTCAACACGAATGCACCGGACGTCTTATTCTTTAGGCCACGACGACTTCATGTTATATGTAGAACTCATAAAATATGAATTCCAAGCTCTAAGTTTTTACAGTATAATAAGTAACTAGGCAATAATAATACGAACTGAACTATCGTCGACAGAGCGTTTTCTAGAAGACTCTAGTACATAGAACAGCCCTGTCTATTTTTGCCGGGTCACGTGTTCCTATTTAAAGTGTGGATTTATATATAGACAACTATTATAAATCGAACTGCCACTTGAAACTCGTGTCTCTGGCGTTTGTGTGACGCCTATGGGATGCAGTACGAGGGCGGCACTGAAAATTTCGGGAAATAACGAAGTGACACAACATTACTATTTAATAATGTATTTATTGCTTTTCGAAGTATTCTCCGCGAAATTTGACACATTATTCCATATGATGGAACCAATCATTGAAGCAAACATTCCATTCGGAAGTTGGGGTCTCCAAAATGGCCGTTTTGTAGGCGTCCACAGCTTCCTCAGGTGATGAAAATCTCTGTCCACGCAATTTATTCTTTATTTTAGGGAAAGTATAGAAATCATTAGGGCTTAGGTCGGGGCTGTACGGCGGATGGTCTAATAACTATATGTTTTCTTGCTCTAAAAACTCTTTTGTTCTGTGCGCGGTGTGAGAACTCGCATTGTCGTGATGGAGGATGATGCGGCGGTTGCAGTTCTCTTTACGGAGTTCAGAAACGACCTGTGGCAAACAAATGCTAGCATACCATTCTGCATTAACCGTTCTTTGTCCCTCAAGAGGAATAGTCGTAACATGGCCGGTTTTGGAGACAAACGTGGCCACCATTTTTTTTGCAACACTCCGTGAACGAACA